GGGGGGGGGGGGTATTAATACAATAACACCCCCTAGCTATGGCCACTGAGCATTACGGATCTGTCTAGGAACTGTATACAGTTACAACTACCTCGGTGGAGTACATCTTGCCAACCAACAGTACACTAACTGTATCAGAACAGAAGAAGGATACTGTTCTATTGCTTACTCATCTTCTAAATTTGAGGTAAAAAACACACCACTCAATTAAATTTTTTCTTTTTTATTTGTCCTTTTTAACTACAAGAACCAGGTACAGGAAAAGGTGCGGTTTCGTGGCCTCATAATTATTATTTTCTACAAAAATTTCTCGAATTTCTATGATCTTTCGACGAAATTTTAGACCTCATTTTCGCGAAATTTCGTTTAATAAATAGGATGAGACTTTACGGACTATTATACTGTCTGTTTCCATGTATTCATGATTCCTTGCAACTGTAAACTTGCTTTTTTGTTTTTAAATCAATAAATACGCCATTGAAAGTCTACACTCAAAGAAAAAGGCTTATGTAATCCCTTGCATTAGTCATATTTTTAGGTCGTCTTTACAGTCTCATCCCTTCGGGGTATATTAGTTTCAAAATCGTATGTATGAAATTTGATAAAAATTTGTGATTTTCTGCATTTCTATTTTCAGTAAGGCTATCATATTTAGTGTTGAACCTTGAACATTCAGGGAGACTTTAATGAAAACCTGAAAATCTTTAACTATGAAGATCTGAAGATTTAAGTTGGATTTCTGTCTTAAATATAGTTCGTGAGGTATATTTGATGATTTGGCAAAGAAAAAATAAGTTTAAAGCTGCAGGGAACCTTCAATTAATAGACAAAGACCCAAAAAATTCTGACTGTCATCTCTTAGGTCTCATTCTATGTGGGTAATGATGTAATATAGTATTCTATTAAACAGTTCTTAACACCCCCCGCCCCCTTCGTTTTTTAACATCATAGTTTTTATGCATATGATAGGATAGAGAACAGTCAAACGGCAGGTCGGTAATTTAAAAAAGATCATAAATGCTTAACAACTTTTTCATTAATAAGCTTAAATTTAAATATTTTAAAAGTCCTTGAAAAATGAATGTAATATATATATGTTTCACATGTTAATATTTGTAAAAATATTTATTTTTGAAAAAATTTCCGACGTACTTTCTGAACTTTTAAAAAATCCTCCCAATTGCACCCTAACCATTAAAGTTAGAAGTCTAATTTTTTTAATAAGCAGGCCTTGAAAAGTTGGGCTATAGACATGTATCACACTCCCCTATCTCAACTCTAAGCGCAAAATTATAGGGGGGGGAGGTGGAAAACATCCCCACCTACATTTGACAAAAACAGCCCCACAAGGATAGAGTTTAAAAAAAGTTTTAACGAAAATTCAAAATCTTATCAAAAATGGTGGTAAAATAAGGTTCGAATATCGCGAAAAAAAGGTTGTTTATTATTTTTGCGAGAAAAAAATACGATTCTGAACAGCATTTCAGGTAATAGGCGGTTTCTGCCTTATAGAAACCGCCAATTTCAGGAAATGGACGGTTTTTGCTCTATAGAAACTGCCCATTTCCCAAGGTGAGCGTCTTATGCCTTATAGACCCCAGACTTTTCTTGGAGACCCAAAGATTTTCATTGGCGACCCCAAGGTTTTCATTGGAGACCCCAGATTTTTGTTGGATATATCCCATAGTTTCATTGGAGACCCCCAGATTTACATTGTAGACCCCATATTTTCGTTGGAGTCCTCATGATTTTCAGTGGAGACCCGCAGGGGTCTTTAATGAAGTTTTGGGATTCAAAACGAAAATTTTGGGATTTACAATGAAAATCTGTGGGTATCATTGTAATTTTTGGGGTCTCCTTTGAAAAGCTTGGTGTCTCCAATGAAATTCTGGGGATAGCCAATGAAAATATGTGGGCCTCTTTTGCTAAATATGATATGATTTAGGAAAATCATGCAGTCCTGAATTTTTTATCAAGTGTGATTTTCATTGTCAGGGATTGGCCGAAAAAAAGTTGAATAACCGAGTGATCAGTGGGTTTATGGATCACCCTTAACCATCAAGACGTCCTGATCTCTCTCCCCTGAGCCCAAAACTTAAGACAGGGTATCGTTATGAAAACCAGTTTTAGAATCCGGGTTTCAAGAATTTGGTTAGGCAGTTTTGTGGATATCGATATTTTTGCTTTGAAATATTATTTTATTTAGTTTCTTCATATTTTACCATTTTTTTTTTGAATCTCTTAAATCAAAATCTACACAAATAATAAGACCCCAAAAAGGAAACCCGGGAGTTTCGTTCAACGATACTCTTTTAAATTTTGGGCTCTGGATTACTGGTTTTGGGGTGAAGCTATGCAAAGGTTCACATTGCTCAACCTGCTCCTGTTGAAGAGCTTAAAATGATTGTGGAAGAGTTTGCATGTTTCCTTGCAACAGCCTGCAGAAATCAGAAAGTGTGTTAGCCACATGAGAGATTGCGCCAGAGCCCGTTTATCTCTAAATGGAGCCTGCTTCGAGTCACAACTAAACCAACTCAGAAAAGTTCATATGAACGGCAATTTTGCTTTAAATGTATATGCCCCAATCTAGTTTAACTCATAATATATTTATAGCAAGCTTTTTAGGACTTTATTTAAAGCAATCTAAAATTTTAGTTGTAGTTACTTACAAATTACACATACATGGTACTCTGCACGGGGGGGGGGGCTCGGGGGATACCATTGGGGGTTTCATGAAGTGAGAGGTTTCTGTAAGGCAGAAAACTATCAATTTCGGAAATGGGCGGTTTCTATAAGGTAGAAACCGTCCATTTCCCGCGAAATGAGTGGTTTCTATCAGACAGATCTGAAACCACCCATTACTCCGAAATGGTCGGTTTCAAGGGCGAGAACATGTTTCAGAACCACAACTGTTTTAGGTTTCTGATGTTGTGAATGAGGGGAAAATTGGTGGGGAGTGCGTAACAGATTACGTTATCATACCACGCGCGGGAGGCTCTACTCTTCAAGAGGGTATTAACTATGGTAAACTTTTAAATTATTAAGCTTAAAACCTTTTTAATTTCATAATAAAAAAGATTATGTTATACGTGTATATTTATATTCATGAGGTTGGAACTTAGTACTAATAATTGAGAAACTACTGAATTTAAAAGTTTAGTTTGATGAGTTTGATAGAGCTTTTAAAAAGATTATGTATGATACAAAAGTAGTGCAAGCAGATTTGTTCGTCAAAATCAGAGCTTTTCAAGAGGAAGAACATTTTACAGTATATCAAATGAAAAACCTTCATATTGCTATTCATGAGCAAGCCTCCTTGAAATATATGTCAGCTGACATGCAAATTAACCTTAGCTTCTTCATAAATAAGAGATTCGGTTAACCTACCTCACATAGATCCCATAAAAAAAGTTGCATCACTTTTCAAGACTGAATTAACTTTGATTTGATCTCACACTTTTATACTTTTTTGTAGAATTTGATTTCAAACTAAAGTTTTATTTAGTAACTAGCAAGATTTTCATAATTTTTTCTTTGAGAGCTTGCAACCTTTGAATCACTGTGCCCTGGGATGGGTTAGAATTTGAATCGATTAAGATTAGTTCCATCCATCAAAAGTTCCCAGCTCGTCATCGCACGACAAGGTTCCATCTTTCAGATTCCCACACACCTTCGGAAGTCGTCTTGTATTAAAATTAATTTTCAAATTTAAAATTAGAGGGACATATATAAAGCTCCATCTGTATTGAAAAAAGTAGATGTTGAAAATTCGAACTTGAGATCTTTGCTAATTTGAAAATCAGGTTTTATTGTAGATATTTTAGACAGGTTTTGTGGTGGACTTTTAACCTACACAGTACCAAAAACTACTACAAGAACTCTTTACACCGTTCGTTATCCCTTTCAGGTATCAAATTAGGCAACCTTTCAAACTTTTTTCATTATTTGTTTTTATACAGTGAAACCCTTAATAACGAATACATCGGAAGTATTTATCAAATGTCGCCTAGACAATTTTTCAATGAGTTTTATATTACGTAAATTTCAGTATTTGCGAAAATAAATAAATAGCCATGAATATGCGGGAACAGTTTTAAAGAGTTCCATATAATCATTTAATTAAAAAACTGAATATCTGCAACATTCCATTATCAGCTAAAGCGAAGAATACGACATTTGATGAATTCTTTTGATGTATTCGTTATTGAGGGTTTCACTGTATTTACTCTTTATTTAGTTTTGCCTTAATTTCTCGTAAATAATATTGTGTTGCTATTTTAAACTAACTGAAACTAATTATCTAGATCGGGGTTTATTTTGATGGAACCGAAACAACAACAACACCAGTTGCTGAGAAATCGTTTGGTTTCGCGATTAGTTATAAACAATTTGCATCCTGCTCACTGCCTTAATTTCTAAAGGATTGATATGAAGCTTTTTCGTCTTTATTTTCTTTGCGCAAATTAATTTGCCTTTTCTCTTGTTACTGTATTTTCTCTTGTTACTGTATTTTCTCTTGTTACTGTATTTTAATGATTTTAATCGTTTTAGGTACTCTGTGCAATCGTAATCATTGTGCCTTGTGTTTAAAATGTTTTGTATTAATATATCATTAGTTTATTATGAAATACTAACTGCTAGCTTGGAAACCCGGCTTTGCTTGGAGGTTTCCCAATAAAATTCAACTCATTTAACTTTAAAGTCGACAATTTCTTGAAAATTGATGCAACTTTTCATAGGAGCAAGGGCATATACAGGGGGGGGAAGGGGGGAAGTGCCCCCCTAGAACTCAGAGCTTTCACACTTTTCAAATCTTAAACTGAAGAGTGAAGAACATAAAAAAAAATTAGTCTGCTGTTCATTCAATGCACTAAGAAGATTGTATACGTGAACCAGAGCCACCATGACAGAAGTCCGAATGAAAAATCTATCTAGAATGCATATATATTCATCCTTATCGGATGGGCGCTATCAGGGATAGCAAAGTAAAACAATTATTTTAAAAATGCCAAGGCACAAAGACTTGAATTTGGACTAGAGGTAGTAAAAGACCATTTTTTAAAATTTGGATTTTATTTACTTTATTCATTGCACCGCCGTTTTGTATAATATTTCTTTTTATTACAAACTAGCTGAAGTGACCGGCGTTGCCTGTTGAATTTATAAATCGAATTAGAACAAAAAATTATAATTTATTTAGCTTACGTCATCCCCAAGGGTACCCAAGGAGTTTCCTCACTAAAATTAAGCCCATTTGATTCAGACATTTGGCCATCCATAGCAAACATATAAATAATGAACGAAGAGCTGTATTATAAAGATTACAATTGTTTGTACTCCTACTTTTTTTACAACAGAAACTTTTACAAGTCATAATTACTTCCTGGACCTGTGTCATTTTTCATCTCATAGAATTTAAGTTTAAGTTGAGTTTTTCATTTAAAAAATGTCTTTTACTATCTCTAGTTTAAATACTAATTATTACCAACATAAAAGTATGATAAATGTCGATGTTTTAGAAACAATGTTTTTCTGCTATTTTTGTTTCAAGGTGGGATAAAGTAGTACTTGCAAGATAATTGGACTATATGTGAACCTTTAAAGCATCATATACTTATGCCTGATATCCAAGAAGCCATGAATGTTTTGAATTTACAGTTCAAATTCTGCCCCCCCCCCCCTAGGAGCTCCTAGGAGGGGGGGGGGCCTGTTGTATACGCCTTTGCATAGCAGTCTGAATCGGTGTGCCTTAAATGGCTGAGGCTGAGGATGCTATTATAATTTTAAGTAATTTTCCCAATATTTTTAAGAGTTTTTACATGTTTAAGTGCCCGACCGTGGTGCAGATGAACAAAACATTTGATAAATTTATCAAAACACTGCACCTGAGTCTACGATTTAAAAACTGCGGCTCGAGCCGTAATTCCTTAAACCCAACTGAGTATCCAATAGACACACTTTTGATTTTCTTCTTAAACCATTCTTTCTGGGATATAGTAGAGAAAAAATCAAAAACTGTTTTTTTTATTTAGAGAGTTCCTCCCGTTTCTGTATATAATCTTAATGGCGCGCAAAATTTAAAATTTTTAGGCTTTATTCGCGACTCTGATTGGTTGAATTTTATACACTATTCAGAATACAAGTACAAGATTAGGTTAGTCTCGATATTAAGAAAAAGAGAGGATCCACCATTCTAAAGTTTATTAGATTTTAAGATTACAAGATTATAAAAATGTGAAGAATTATTTTGTTTTAAATCCCCATCTAGTATTGACTGGTTTCATGCTTAGTCTAACTAAATGTTTAATTGGACTAAAACTAAAGGAGTGGAGTAAATCATGTTTAGTCTAAATGACCAAGTTTTAGAACATTTGATCAAAAAATATTTCAATTGAACTAAAAAATTAAATTATAAAGTTTGAAAGGACGTAAATTCTAAAATAATTAATTTTTATGTGGAAGCCTGGAAGGATATATATTCAAACAATCCATTCTAGTATTTAATTTAGCAAAGTGTATTTTTATGAATCAAACTGAAATCATAGAAATTACAGATAGGTTTAGAAGAATGTACTCAAACACAGCAGGGGCAGTTTTTTAACAATACTTTTAGTTTTAGTAATTATTTTAGTTTTTTGATGATTAAACATTCAGAAAAAGATGAAAAATCACGTTGTTTTTACATTCGGGGCGGATACAGGATTGAAGTGAGGGGGGTGCGAGATTTATTTCAGAACAAAAAAAATCCAGATTTAGGAACAAAAGGAGTGAAAAGGCGAGAAAAAATTTTAAGATAGATATTTTTCCTGTTTTGCACGAGGTTATCTTTTCCTTAAGGGCTATTGAGGAGCTATTCTGAAATTTCAGGGGGGTGCGGAGGTCCTGAAGCCCCCCCCCCCCTTGTATCCGCCCCTGTATTTATACCTTTAGTCAGCTCTAGCTGGGAGTCGCTAAAGTAGATGTTTTTTCCAATTCAGCACCATAATATTTAAATTTTTTTGACAATTTCAGAAATGTTTTAATTGAGAAGCTTAGAGGGAAATATGTAAGATATTGGCCAAAAAATCCGATATAAAAACCGTTTTTATTGAAATTATCTTCCTAACTTCGCTTGTTTGGCCAAATGATGCAACCTATGAAAAAATTATTTTTCATAAAAAAAATGTCCTCAGTTGCAGTGAAAAAAAAACTCCAAGATCTGCCATGACCATGGAGGTACAAACTTTTCGGTGAATTATTTTAGTCTGTATTACTTTAATGGGCCTAACAACAATGTAACAAAAAGTGGGATTTCAAGCGTTGCAAAACTAGTTTACTAAAACTTAAATATTTCGGCCGTTTTTACAGTGCAATCTTAGCATTTTTTATAGGTTGCATTATTTGGGCAAGCAAGAGAAGAAGGAAAAGCAGGGAGAAAATTGCACAGAAAACTGTTATTATTTTGGATTTTTACCTTACACATTTGCCTATAAACTTGTCAATAGAGGATTTTTTAGGTCATTTCTAAATTGTCAAAACGTTTTTACATAGTATGGTGCTGAGTTTGAAAAATCGAATTTACTTTTGCGACTCCCAGCTAGAACTGACTAAAGGTGTAAAAAAACCGTGATTTATATAAAAAAAAATTCTGTCAAATAGCACGATATATTTCTTGGCTAAACCTAAGTTAAATCCAAAGACGCTCTATATAAAGATGCTTCATAAGAAAATTTGCACAAATTTTACGCACTTTGTTTGGTCTAATAAAGATTGTAACAACTGTCGTCTTCTCTAATGATTTAAGAAAATTATGGTCTCTTGAAAGTTTTATTAAGTCGTCTTTTGATATTGATTAAAGAGTTGTTTTCAAGTGAAATAAGGGAAATATTTAAGGTTTTCTATCTTGAAATTTCTAATTTTGAGTTCTCCTTAAAAGTGGCTTGTGGATTAATTATGAAAAAAAGATGGAAAAGCGACGATATCTTCCCAATTGTTGTTCCGATAAATGTTAATATGATACCGTTGTTAACTGCGCATGCGAATTAAATGGGGTGGTCACTTAAAATAACGTCTATCAGTTCCATAAAAAATTTACTTTTTTTGTTTCAGTAGTATGTAAAAACTTTTATAAAAATGATGAACTTGTTAATGCTTAATGCCTGTAGTAATGCATAATTTAACATAGCTTTTTTAAAGTTCACAAGACGTATTCTTTAAGAAGAATCATTTTGAGGAAGTACTTATTTTAGATACATATATGGTTATTCACAAAAATGAAACTTTAGATATGACAGCATAAATTGACACCGCCTTTCAAACCCTAGCTCAAGCAGTGTTTATATGAAGAAAATAATATTTGAATCTTCGTATTTGGAGTATGCTATAGGTAATCCTGTATTTTTTGTCACAGTCAATTATCGCATTCTAATTTATTAAAGCATGAATTCTCTACCTGGTTTTAATGAGTTAAAGAAATAAAGTGGTAATCTTTATTAAACTATCAACTTTCCTGTGAAATTTTTAATGGTTAAGATCTAAAATCATGATTCTTTAAAAAAACGAAATATTACAAATAATTGTGTCCACTAAAACTTCAACATGGTTTGGCTTCATATCAAATTAAGAACAATGAAAGTGGCAGATTCGCGTAATGGGGGGGGGAGAGGGCGACAACCCTGTGTACCCCTTTAGACAATGCCCCCCCCTCCCCCGAGGCTCCCCTTACATTTAAACTTATATTCTTGTCTTATCAATTGATAGTTTGTCCATTTTAAGACAATTTATCAAATTTTATCATTAGTCTTTAATTTTATTATCGGGGTTTTATTTAAAACCCAAATCTGAGTTTAGGATGTTTGACCCATAGTTAAGGAGAGTTTTATGTATTATTTAATTAATTAAGGTTCACAGTGTTGGGAAAAGGGGGGAGCAGGGTTGGATATTTGGAGGAGCAGTGGAAAAGGGGGTACACTGCAGGGTTGGGAACACTTTCTTAGGGAAATTTGTTGACTTTTAACCATATCCCAATTGGGCTTTTTTGTCTCCCCATATGATTTTGCCCTTATATAGAGTTGAGATAGGGGAGTGTGATACATGTCCCTAGTCCCTAGTTAAAAATGTATACCTCTATCTTTAATGGTTAGGGTGCAATGGAGGATTTTAAAAAAGTTCAAAAAGTATGTTGAAAAAATGTTCAAAAGTAAATATTTTTAGTTTTGACAAATATTACCAATGTGACACATATTAATTATTATACATCCATTTTTCGAGGGCTTTTGAAATATATAAATGTTAGCCCTGTAGCTAAAGGCGAGAAAAAATTTTAAGATAGATATTTTTCCTGTTTTGCACGAGGTTATCTTTTCCTTANATTTTACAGGATTTTTTGCAATTTTTGTAATGCATAGGGACTCAGGCGCGCAACTAGACATTTTGTTGGGGGGTTGATATTTAGTACGTCAACACATCTGATATGAAATAAAAAAAGAAATCTATTCTGGTTAATATTAGTCACAATATTAATTAATTTACAATTTACAAATATATGTATATATATATTCATTGTTCATCCATAAATAAAATATATACATTGTACTCAGACACTGACAAAAAATGCCTTTAGAATGTAGGACAGTAAAAACAGGTGTAAACAAATTTATCCCTATTCCTGCTGGGAGGGGGGCAATTATTTCATACAACCCGTCAAAAGAAATTTGCACATT